ACAAATTTATTAATGATAGCAGCGCGCTCCAGAGATAGAGACAAAGAGAGACAGAGAGATAATTAGAGAGAGAGAGAGAGAGAAAGAGAGAGGCAGAGAAAGAGAACAGAGGAGCAAAGTCACGGACAAACGAACACAGTGACATTTCTGCCAGTTGGAAACTCGTTAGTGCGTTAATAATAGAAGTGCGCGTCCGTTAACGCGGCGCGGTTGCGTTGACAAAGAGTCGTCATCGTCATCAGCAATACGATAATTAAATCGAACGTTCGATTTATTTTTACAGACCGTGGATGCAGCCGGGGGCCGGAACCGGCGGGGCCCAAGTGGGCGGGACAGGTGACGACGAGGCGCCGAAGGACCCGGGTGCACGGATCACCCATCAGTCTTACACTGAAAAAGATTATGAAGGTAGGGAACGCTTCGGATTCCCAAGTCTTTCTTTCGTAGTCGATTGCATCGATTAATAGAAGTTGATGGCATTTTTTGTCATTTAATTAATTTAACGCGGAGGTTAATCGGACGAGTCTCTCCCTCTTTTTCTCCTCGTCTATGTCGCGTTCGTGATTTAGAAAGGAACAGAAAATCGTCGGATCTAACTCAACAAAACGTTTTACAATTGACTGTCAACTGCCGGATTGTATCGCGTGTGTCATGCAATGTGACTCAAAAGTCTCTAAGGTGTAGTTTAAAATTTCGAGTGACGAACGCACACACGTTGAGGAGATTCCGTGAGGAATATCCGACACTAAAGGGGTGAAATATCGGAGTTATTTAGCGAAATACAAAGGAACGTCGATTCGTTGATATCGAACGGCTATATCTGACTTATCCAAATCCGCGCCCTATTTTTATAGGCTGCCGCTGTGACCTTCGCACGTTGATACACGTCCGACTATTTTCTCTTTCATTATCCTCGTTCTTTCGATGAGAAGTGGCAATTGCGATCCGTGAATGATTGAACGACGCGTGAATTTATCTTACTGGCGCGATAAACGTCAAATTTATGCTATTTATTATACTAAAATATAAATTCTGTTACGTAGAAATATTTAACTCGCAACAAATAATGCAAGAGGATTCTCTAGTATGCTAAAGCTTCATCGCGGCATTTTGAATAATCGAGTGTCTCTCGAAATACCACGATAATTTATAGTTTTCATGCATTCCGATTGAAATTAAAGATATCGTTTCAGCGACTAATTCGGAGCGTTACTCATAACGGCTTTACGTCACGAAATCACCCACTTACCGCGAGAAAGGTCAGACAACGTAAAATATAGTACTTGTTTATATCTTTCGCTAAAATATTCATAAAATTCTGTTTACGTCATTGTTCATCCCGTAAAATGCGGATTATTAAACCTTTTGAAGCATAAAATCTTCAAAATTCGAATTCTAATAAAATATTCATGTCACATGTCTAGAATGACAATCCAAAAGATCATTCTTTTTGAAGGTTTTATACTTTAAAAGGTTGAATAATGGGCATTTTACGGGTTGAACAGTGACGTAAACAGAATTTTATAAATATATATATAAAATATATATATATATGCATACATATATATATATATATATATATATATATATATATATATACAGGGTAAACAGAATTTTATAAATATATATATAAAATATATATATATATGCATACATATATATATATATATATATATATATATATATATATATAAACAGGGTAAACAGAATTTTATAAATATATATATAAAATATATATATATATATGCATACATATATATATATATATATATGTACACATATATATATTTCCTATTTTATTTATATTTTCTATTATTAAAACTGGTAGGGTGTATCACTATGCACAGGCTAAACGATGCGATTTCGTTGCGAAATCACTATGCCTGAAGCTATGATTTGGTTCTAATAGGTGATCTCACGGTGAAACCATTGAACTCCAAAGAATTAAGTGCACGCGAGAAAAATGAGAAAGAGGTGGAAAGAGAGTTTCGGTGATTTTTGGCATTTGGCAAGCGTATATAAAATTCCCACGGCTGCGGGTATTTTGTAAAGCTGAGGAGGAGAACGACACAAGAACGAGCTTTCGCTATGAAGCGTCAGGCTCCAGCAATAACGTGCCTATACGGCCGGTATAGGTCAGTCTGATACGAATCTGGCTTCGGTGTTTGCTCACACGATGTCCCTCGCGCGTGTAGGTGCTTCGAAAATCGTTACTTCGTTAAACAACGGCGGCTATGGATGGGCACGTGAGCGACGAGTTGACCTCGTCGTCGAGGACGAAACGTCGGTGTCGCCGCGAGGCGAGTGCAGGTCGCGTTTGTCATGACAATCCCGAATCGGCAACGTGCAAAGCTATCCAGCGCAAAACATATCGATTGATCCTAGCCGGTGTTCCCCGGTGTTTCCCTAGCTCTTCGTTTGTCACGAATCGAAATTTTATTCAACGATTTCCGCCCAAGGCGAGTGTCAGAAATAGAATTTCGACGGATGGTTAATTAGCACTCATAATACGCGAGTTTCTCAACGATTTCTTAGGTAAAAATTGCGAGTTTTTCGTCTGAGAGAGACCCAACTTAAAATTAACATTATTATGTCAAGTGGAATTGTCGTTTTCCATCTTGAGAGGAAATATCTTTAAGAAACAGAAAACATTTATTCCATAAGTATACTAATTACATATTTATTTATACTTATATGAAATATTTTTTAAATAATAAAATATGTATTTTCTTAAAACCTAATCTTTTATAAAAGCAACTGTTCCATTCTGTTTAAATAAAAGATTCTAGTCAATATGTCATTAATACCCACCGAATAAATATTTGTTATTTTTTAGATATTTTCTCGCTCAATGTGTAAATTAACTTTGTCTTATAAGGCTAAAGATATTTGTTTGATGATAAATATAAAGTAATTTGTATTTAATATGAAGTTCCCGCCAAAAAACTTTTAGATAGGATATCAATTTTTTAATATCGCGCAATGTGAAATTGAGAGTAATTATTAAAACACATATGTCAAGACAATAAATATCAAACGTATATTCAGCACGCAAATATTTTGATCATGTTGCTACCACATGTAGAGTGATGGTCGACTTTAATGTTCGCTCATATTATCCGAGTAATATGCCACGTGTATTCTCTTGTGACCTCAACGGCGCGCAATATGGACATCTATCTGTCACTCGCATGTTTTTTATTTTTGCAATACTGTAAACACGAACTACAGCGCGCCGTTGATTCCTTCAGTCTTTTCTGAGCGATTTCGCACTGCCACTTTTTGCGCGGTAACTTCATCAGTAATCAATGCGATTTAGTCTAAATGCTGCATGCACTACGTAATTTGACGCTTTGTGAGCGTTCTGATTGCATGCTCACCATTCAGCATTGATGTCCCGCGACGTCCAGCTGCCCGAGTCTTCAATATTCAGCATGACGGCACCTCTCCATAGAATTTAGTCGTTGTCCACATTATCTACACTTCACTCGCGTTTATTTCAACGATCAATTTGACAATTTAACGACTCCACCAAATGTTAGTAATTTGATGAAAAGCATATAAAATTCCAACGCGACGAGAACGTACTCGTAAATCACATGTGAACAAAGCACAAATCGCGAACCTAGGACCGTGCCACATTCGACGATGTCGAGAACAAAAAAGGGTAAACATTCCGTTTCAACTACGCCGGTTACGCTCCGTCAGAAAACACGGTTTTTGTCTCGAGAAAATTTCAATTTTTCGCAATAAATATGCATATTGATTTAGGATATGATTTCGACCAAGATAATATTATGATTTGTCATAAAAAAATTCACGTAAAAAATTTAGTAAACTGACGATCACGATTATTGCAAAATTTATCGCGAACAAAGCAAGTAATCACGAATTTCGCGGGTGGCGCAATTCTTATGCGCTATCTTGTAACGCAATAATAATGCGCATTATTTAATGCTCGAAATAATTAGGAGATCGTATTATATTAATTGAAAAAAGATATAAGCAATTGATATATTTAAGTCATATACAATATAGTTCATATATCCAAAAAAGAGATTATTATTTAAAAAAACAATCCTCTGATTATTTCAAGTAATATTTCAGTGGACAACATAAACATGCAAAATCCTACACTGAGAAGAAAGTATCTGACACTCAACTGTAATATCTTACAAATAAACCTATCCAAAAGATACACTCCAATTTCTTTCTAATTTGGCACAAATGTAGAAGTACAAAAAATATTTAGGTCATATTTTTTTCATTTTAGCCCACTTTGAGTTTCACGGGCAGTTTATAGCTTTTTAATGTTCTCACTCCTATCATCAACAAGAGTACAACAAAAACACATAAGAAATAAAATTGAATACAAGATATAGTTAAATAATTTTAACAAAATCGGCATAGCTGAGATACGAACCATTCTAAATTTCATTAGCCGAGATTCCAACTGAAATATTTCAAATCTGTGCTAAATTAGTCAAAAATAGTTCGAATTTCGGCCAAACCGAAATTCGGCAATTTTAAGTAAAATTTTAGCAAAATCGGCGTAGCTGAGACACGAAACTATTTACATTTCTTTAGTCGAGATTTCAACCAAAATATTTCAAATCTGTGCTAAATTAGTCAAAAATGGTTCAAATTTCGGCCAAACCGAGAAATTATTTGTATAAATAAACTTTCTTCAACTTTTTACATATTTTGTTTAAACATTTTATTATTTATACAAATAATTTTACATATTTGACTTCATATTTATAATAAGCAAACCAAAAACGTCTATACCTTGTAATCAATTTTATTTCTTATGCATTTTTCTTGCACTTGTTGATGATAGGAGTGAGAACATTAAAAAGCTATAAACTGCCCGTGAAACTCAAAGTGGGCCAAAATGAAAAAATACGACTTAAATATTTTTTGTACTTCTACATTTGTGTAAATTAGAAAGAAATCGGAGCGTAACTTTTGGGTAGGTTTACTTGTTACTGAAATAATTATATTAAGAAAAAATAATTTTTGTAGTAAGTGCTATAATATCATTGATAATAACATTATGTGCATATATATTGCTTCTATTAATCTTTTGTTACAACAATCGAATATAATCGTTGCCGAAAGTGACTATAATTTGTAATGAAACTAATCACATTTTTTTCTCAGTGTACATGCAAAAATCTACTATCTAAGCAAATCGCATTGATTTTTCCTAACATACATTAATACCATCATAAATCTTTTATATTGACTCACCAAAATACCATAAAATACTCATACCTTGATCGGTCAGATCTCTTACTGAAACAAAAAGATACAACATACTCGATCAGATATAGCATACTCGAATAGCTGATGCTTTAATTAAATACATGTGAATAGCATATTGACTTTTTGCGCGATCGTTTTAACTCATTCATTTTTATTTGAATAACTATGTTCCAGTTTTAAGCGCGAAAATATTGAGTATGAGAAATCTATGAACTCTCACCTTTGAGCCAATTTTGCATGGTCCGAACCGGATCCTCCGGTACGGCATCTCCAGAAACAACACCTACCATATGGTCCCAAGCTTCACCAGATCTGAAACACAAAGCAAATATTATGAGCTCATGCTTCGATCGCCCAGATATCTCCCTGAGCAAAAAAAAAGTTAACACCCTTCATTAAATACAATCACAAGCCAATACCTCACGCTCAGAGTTTACGCCCACATGGATATCCAAAAATACGAATTAGTTGACATTTCAATTAGCACGCAACGTAATCGGACGCCCTACACGTTATCAGAAAATCGATATACACCTGTTGATGTATTTTCATTTCTACCGAAACAGCCGTCTTGTGCACACGCGACATGTAATGACTGTTCGTGTTTCGAGCGTGCACAAGTCCTGTGCAAATCGCGGCTGAGACACGAGGAGGAGAAGGAAAAGATCCTTTCGCCTCCGCGGTCCCTACGGACCCGGCTCGCGTGCGACGCGTTTTGCTCACGGTGGGATCCTTACGCGATCGAATGTCGCTGATCTAATTTTCTCTCGCGCGACGAAAGGAGAATCGTCCGTCTCTCACGTGTGCCACTTCGCCGCAGAAGCGAGTCACGCTAAATGCGCGCGTATCGACCACCACTACAACCACCAGTACCCCGTCGTTGAGAGAGAGAGAGAGAGAGAGAGAGAGAGAGAGAGAGAGAGAGAGAAACAGTGTCATGAAGCTATCCCTTTCATCTGCTTCCAGGTCACAGGGCGCATACGGTGTACGTAGGCGTCCACCTGCCGGGGGAGAAGAGGCACCGCCGTCATCATAAACACCATCATTCACAGCGGCAATCGTATCCCTGCGGTAAGGAGGATGTCGACAGCGAAAGACCGAGTAAGTTGATTCTTCTTGTCTTTTACTCACATGGAGTCTCGATCGACCCTCGTCGATAATAATGTCACATTACGGAATACTTCGACTTTGTTCAAACACTCTGACAGTGCGCTTAAAAGTACCGCATAATGAGCTGATAATAGGCTCGGGACACGCACGGGATCGTTTTCACCCGATTGTTAACTTGGAGACGGTCGGTCGGTCCTTTGGTGTGTGCGCGAGACGTCGTCGAGATGTATCTTAAATCAGGCGTTCAGTATTACACGGTTACCGCGAGGACAAGACGTCGCGACTTCAAAGAACGAGTTGACAAAAGGAGCGAGTTCATCCTTTGTTCTCGGAATGGCTCATACGTGCTGCGCTATATAGTCAGTGGAAAGCAGGTTACAACATTTTTCTTTTCAATGAGTTGCGCAGTATATTCGCGTTTGATAGGGAAGAGGATTTTATTTTTTAACAATTCTTAAAACATTCGAAAATCAATTTTTCTCTCAGATACACTGTAAGAGAAGAAATATCTAAGATGTAAAAAATACTTATCCGGTGGATAAAAGTAACATATATATTTATATTGATATATTTTATTGATATAAAATTATTTTTTACAAATAAGAAAATGAGAAAGTATCATGATCATGATATTTACTGAATTAGAATAAAAGAATCTAAATTTAAGTAAATATGTTATTAGTATCCACTGAATAGATTTTTTTTTATTTTTTGGATATTTTTTCTCTCAATGTTCCGATTTATTCATGTTCGATGCGAGAGGAAATTAGTCTTTTAATAATTCTTAGAAGATATAAATCTTTCTGCTGGACATCGTGCGCCTTTAAGTCGATCATGAATCTTTCCTCCCAGCGCAAATACGCCAAAACTTTTTAAAACTTAAAAATGTTCACGTTTCACGAATCCACGAGTTGAAGGGGAAGATTCATGATCGCCTGGTGAAGTTCATCGAGATAAGAGTGCCTTTCTTCCACTGACTGTACTCAATCTTCGAATCCCACATTATATTCTTGCGGCACGTGTAAACAAGTCACATCATAGCAATGCATTTCCGTCGATAGACAGATGTTTCGAATTCCGCGGCTTATTAATGGAACGTCGCTGCGGCAGACACAGTAGATTTGCGTAGGCGGTACGTCATGATGCGTTTAATTATGCACGTGATATTACCCTGCGGTCTCGCACCAACAATACGAGAATACAGAAATGCGAGATTAAGGATGCCGCCAAGCAATCCGAACGTGGTCGCGCGTTAACCGTATTATTGCGCGAATAAGTCCCTTCACTCTCTCGGCGATAAACTTGTGACTCCTGTGGGTCAACGTCAACGATCTTGATCGCTGATAGGGCGTATAGAAAATGGGGAAAATATGCACAATCTCTCTCTCTCTCTCTCTCTTTCTCTCTCTCTCTCTCTCGTGATTTAATGTCGGCATAAATGAGTTCATTTCGATCAGAACGGTTTCGACAGAACGAGCTTGTATAAAATGCGCCGGAAACTTAAGGCGAGCTGAAGAATGGTGTCAAGGGGCGAGTGCTCAAACAATCGCATAACCGTGTAGTCGCTCTCAGAACTTGAAAGTTCCTCCGGCCGATGGCGGCCGACCCTATTGCAAAGTTGGGCGAAAGTCTTGTTACACTCGTACATATGTACGTTGCTATTTGTGTATGAGAGAGAGAAAGAAAGAGAGAGCCCCGAGGAATGCGCGTTTTAACAATGAATTCGTCGTCGGGTCTTGTAGTACGGTGACACGGCGCTTGTACTATTTGCAACGCTGAAAATTTGGCATCGGCGCGCAATTGCGTTTGTCGTACTCCAAGAATGGCTCACGTATACGTATACGTGAGTTCCCGAGAAATTGACTCCCATTGCCCGATTCGTTCGCTCATCTCTCTTTTCCGAGTATTCCTCTCTTTTTCAATAATCCTTTTAACAAAACGTTAAAAGCGCAAAAAATATATATGTATTTTACCAAAATACATATATATATATATAATACACACATACACACACATATATATATATATACAATCCGGTAGCTCTCGTTCCCGTAACTTCATGCAATTTCGCGACATGTCAGTGGCAAACTCGGGCGGCAAATTGTTATTTTGTCGAGCCCGCGATGCGGAATAATCGTGGCTCGAATATTCCATTTATCGGGAACTCTCGATGAATACGCGACCATTTCATTTAAACGCCGCGAAGGCCGCTTATGCCAATCGCATATAATTCGTGAGCATTTTCACAGTGCCGCCGCTTTTCATTTTCGTTGTTTCGCGGTCTGGCGGGCGGTCGAATAAATATAGCATTAAAAAAACGGATTGCGCCGGTCTAAAAATGGAACGAGGACCCCCGCCACTTCGCATCTCCGGACGGCGTGAGCCCCGCAGCTTCACGACGGCGCCATTACCGCCATTCGCCCTCGCGGATTTAATCCCGTCGCGAACAATGCGCTTGTCACGCGGCGCATTGTTCGACTGACCATGCCGCGAGATCGACTCGCTTTTTTTCGGCCGAAAAACCGCCGGGATGCCGCGCGGATGCCGCCCCATGGCCTCGACGTGGTGTAGCACTTTCGTGGCGCTATCAAACGGTACGTGGCAGCCCGCCAACCACTTGTCGAGACTTATCCGGGTATTCACCCTATACTTCTGATATACCGGGATGCAAAGGGATAACCGATATCGAGGATGACGCGGGAGCCTTTCGATCTTTATTATTAAAAATTCAACGTGTCCGAAATATTTTCAATGATCCCAACTTTGAGAGAAACGACCAAATCTTTCTTCCTTCCATAATCATCTGTGACATTTCATTGTCATTTTTTTTTGTATTAGCGTTAGAAATTTCGGTAGGATCTGGAGATTCAAAGAGAGCGACGTGTAAGAAGTTGTAAGAGAAATAACTGTTGTCTGTCCAAATTACGCGCTAAGAGAGATTTAAATTTAGATTCGGCATCATAACAATGGTAAACAGAAGCGAAGAGAAGGCAAGTGTCAACAAAAAGAGGAATTTGTATTCCAAAGAACATTACTACATGGAGAGAATTTTATCGTAAAAATTGCTACAGGATTTTGCAACTGAGAAATAAATCGACATTCGGCAGTAATTCGCTATCCTTTTATTTCATACGTGCTACTTATATTTTAGGAACTGAAATGTGCTATTGAAATACTTGCTATTTTTCTAACGAAATTTGATATGCAAATTTGATATATCTAGAATCAAGACTACTATCCTTACTGACTGAATGTCTGTTCCTGAATTACTAAAAATATAGTGAAATTAAAAAGAATTTATATGAAAAAAGGGCTACAATATTCTCTCCACGTACAGACGTGATAAACACACTCGCGAGATAGACTATATTCTAAGACCGATATTCGTGGTCGTAAATTATTTACAATTGTTGAGAATAAATTAACCATAAATTTCTATTTATGGACCATTATTCGGCTGCCAATTAATAGTTTTTTGGGTAAAGTAAGTACAAGTACAGATTAACAAAGGATCAAAGAGATTCGTGTAGCTACAATTACTTATCGATTAACTATGAATATACTGACCTAGATTTCGACTCGGAATATCTCTTTGTTCTCGGAGTGAATTCATCGGAAACGCCCGTTAAAATCGGAAACGTTATGTACAACAAATGATTTGACATACCTAAAAATATATATCATGTGTCGCTGTCCTCGTCTCGATCTATCTCTCATCCTGCTTCCGGCTGGTCCCACCGTCACACAAAGACTGACATTCGTGTGGACACGATTTGATCGAAGAAACGGGTGTTAATAAACGCGATGCCGACGAGAATGCGAAGGACTGTGACAAGGATGAAACTATTTTACCAATATACGTACACCACGTCGCGATATGTGTGTGTGAGTTGTTCGTCGACACGTTGTGACTCAGTCGCGAGAAAGTATACGGCACGCGTGAATGTCCAAACAATGGGCAAAAAAGGACTACGTCATCTGTCGTTGATCGCTTCGATTGAACGGCGCGTGAGATGACAATATCAACGCTTTTCAAAACATTCCGCAAGCGCGACCTCTTTTTCTTCCTCGTGATAAGTGGCTACTATTAAGTGTCATGCCATTTTACTTTTTTCTTTGTCCAAATGGCTAATGAATATCCAAGCTTTCTTCTATACGCTGGTATTTTGATGTGTTGAAGTTAATACGTCTAATACGTCTAATAGCCTCGAAGATCTTCTTTTTGTAACAATAAAACAAATGACTCAAAAGTCAATTTTCAATTCGCATTTGAATTTTCCTGGAGTAGCTTGATTTCATCTCCGTTGGATACAGGATTACTCAGTCCGCGCACTACGATAAGACGTTACCCTGTGCGCGGCAAGTTTAGCCTCGAACTTGTAAACACTTTTTCGCTTCTGCTCAAAGGCTCATCTCGTTACTGTAACAAAATAAAATTTTTAATTTTATTTACATTCTTTTACATACCAATTATTATTTCTATGCTCTAATATAGCTTTTTTCTATTCACTGCCCCTTCAAATTTTATCGAAATTTCTAACGCCAATCTTTAAAAATGATGATAACAAATTACGAGAGAGGAGAGCTTGTTGTTTCATTGATTCATTAACCTCACTTTACCCATTTTAATTATTTAATGTTTGTCTATCGTACATGTGCTTGGTGTGCATTTCAGTTACGTAATTATTAAATTGAACTGATACCTTGTTCGCTGAAATTGAGCAGAAAAATGAAGCGCGGATAAAACAAAAATAATCGAACATGAAATAATTTAGTAACTTCCTGTACAGTGTTATATCTCGAGATTGGTCCCGTAAATTCAACAGAACTGGCGGAGTTGACGTAGAAGCAACATCTTTATTCGGGGTGTTGTCGTTTCTTTCCGCGCAATTAAAATCCGCAGTATTAAGCGCTTTACAATTAGCAACTAATCAAATTAAGATCTGCGAGTGAAGTTTATTCGAAATTAATTATAAAGATCTTTTTTTCTCTTCAGGCTCTTCAGCGTAATTTCGCGCAGCTCTTCATGTTACTTAATGGCGAATTAAAACGAACATTTTCCACGGTCATGAGCTTTCCGCGCGCAAAGTTAAGTGCACTCGAGTGAAATTGCCGAGGCGTACTTTCGCGAAATATACTTTTAACCTTGAGATAAGAAGCTACAAAACGACACGAAGTGACTAATCACGTTGTCTGTCCGTGACGGTACGAAGCGCAATAAAGACTCGCGGAAACTTTCGGGACATTTCGATCGGCGGACTTCACCGGGGCGACAAGTCGATTTTCTGAGTTTTCCCCCTTGGTAACAGATGGGTCGAGACGGTGCAGGAATGGAAAGGGAAGCAAAGTGAGTCTCTAGAAGGCTCTTTCGTGGAGGATACGCAAGTCAGGAACTCGTTTTAATTTCTTAGTCGATTGAGTACAGCTCTAACCACTTAATTTCTGCTAACCACTTATATCAAAAGTTGCTAACGCGAAGAGCGTTGGCGTTTATATCATGACACCTCTTCATCAGTCTCGTGATATCTTCGGTAAAAAATAAAAAAGTAAAGTAAAAAATAAATAGTGAATACTGAAATATATCGATAAGCGTGGTAATGAGAAAATAATCATAAATTTCGAGAGAGAGAAAATTCACATATAGAAAATATTTATAGAGAAAATTAATATATGAAATATATTACCTGTTGGTATATATTTATAATTGTCTCTTGTGATAAACGTTCAAGCTTTCGCCGCGAGTAAATTACTAGCCAAATATTGGACGGCTCCGATACGTGTGTCAGTTATCGAAACGAAGTAAACAAGACGAAATCCCGCGAGACTCAAGTGCGAGCTTCAACGCTTATCGATGACGCGATTAAAACCCCGTGGTAAACATAATCAAAGTGAGTTATCATACTTTTTTCACATTTGGAAACATTCGATCTTGTTTTCGGCGTACTCGGCACGCGTGTCGGGATGAGCAAACGAAGAGACATTTCTCGTCGCACGTACGACTGAGTCGGTATCGCAATTCTCGTGTTTACGTTTGTGCTCTGCTCGGATCGGGAACGTTTCGATGAGACAATCAAAACATTCCTCCTTACGTTACTTCGCCACCACGAGCGATAAATAATTATACTCTGCGTAACAAAGCATTTCCATACCAGATAGAGAGGCGATGGGATTTCGGTTGTTCTCGTAAGAACATACCGATCTCTCTTCCCCCCTCGTTTCCTTCCTCACTTCTTCGCTCCCCTTCGTTCTCTTCCTCTCCCTCTTCTCTACTCGCCTCATTCATATCGGCGACAGAGTTGTCGAAAGTCATTACGAAATGAACGAATCTCAACCCTCTGTGCGTGATCCGAATGACACGGCAACCACGTTGACGTTGCAGGGCAATTGTTGATGGCGCGCAGAGGTCGTCTCGCTAGCATCTGCGACCCCGCCGGCGAGATGATATGTAAGCCACCCTTACACATACGCACGAGATTCCTTTGTGTGATGCAAAAAACGTTTAACTCGCTCATGCATTCGCCGCTCGTGCATTCTGCAAGATGCGACGCGAATTCTCGCCGGGAGGATTATTTCTCACGTGCCTCGCTGTTGCTCCACGAGACCGTCCCGCGATATCGATCGCCACGTCCGCAATGCAATCACGCCGGTATAATATTTTCAGTAGACTTTAAAGTCTAATCTGTCGCACGCGCGCGTGATTCGTCCGACAAGACGCCAAGTGATCGCGATAATCGCGTCACGTGCGCGACGTATGCTTTATCGGCCACACGGACGCTACATAGTTTGTGTATCGCGACGAATATCATCTCGATTCGTCGGTTATCGTTACGTAAATTGATTGTATCGCTGTCTCCAGCGCTATCATGTACACTCAGTTCATGTCAAGGCGATTTTCGCGTTTCTCATCGAACGAAGTCGCGATCTTTCAAGTTTTCAGAATTGAAAGCCGCACGTATACATACGCGCAGTAATCGGTTGCAGATGTATAAAGATTACTTCTCTCAAGATAATGTTGTCTTCGTTAAAATTGCATTTTTTTCTTCCAAATCTCACAAATGTCGCACACTCTGTACTGCCAATTTGGCTCTTGTCATGACCGATTACTGCGCGTACTCGTCAGCAGTGGCTTTCAATAATTCTCACAACTTGAAACATTGATTCGACGGAAATTGTGAAAACCGTTTAGAAACTGGGTGTACCTGGGCGTTCGTTGTGTGTGAGCGCGCAAAAGCGCTGCACATGGCGCACATTCGCAAACTGCCGCACATGTCGAACACAAATTATGTATGCCGAGGGATAGCGTGCAGGCTACGCAATACGCCGGTTACGATGAATATTTACAGCCTTGCGGGATGCACAAGCGGCCCCGAAATTTATCGAAGCACGACACACCACGTAATTCCGGAGCAGGGTAACAACGCTGTTTCCACGTTACGATCTAAGCGTACGTGTCGAAGACATCACTTGGCGCAATAGTAAACGAGTGATCGCGCCACGGGAGATTGAGTCTCCCTTTATCGCGTTGTGCAGCGAATAGTGTAGAAAGTTAGTTCGGAAATTTGAGTAATCAAGTACACTTTTGAACTTGCTTTCTCCCTCTTCTCTTGTCTTCAGCTCTAACGCTGCTCGCTACAAAGTAGCAAGAAGGCTTTGAGTTGGAGACGACTTCGCGTTGTGTACAAAGCGTATAAGAACGAGTATAATGATCGATAACGTCACGAGAAACAATAGTTCAAAGTATCTAAATAATCTAATGCGATGACTTTTGAAGCATTTAAATCGCGTCCATTAGAAACGGTTTGAGCAATCATCCAGTCTAGCCGAAACATTCAAAGTAATTTGACTAATGCAACACATAGTCCTCCTTGCTCCAGCAAGATCCTCTATTAAATAGAGGAACAGCTCGGTGAAGAAACGCGCGTTTGAGATCCTCCTCGTTATTTAAATATTAAAATAGTGTTTTACCCGACTCTGAGACTCACACACACATACCTACACACGTTACATATAAAACACAACATATGTTACACGATCGTTTTCAGCTGGAGGATTCTGTTTTTTTCACTCTGCTTTCTATGTGTCTCCTTTTTCTCTCTGCAAAAATTTTTCTAACGTGCATGCGTCATCTATCGTGGTCGCGCGTATCTACACATGTATTTAACGCATACGTATACAGTATATTTTATGCCATTCAGTCGATCGATCAACGTTTAATGCTCCCTCATTCCGCCGCGAAATTAATGCGATCATACATACAGTAAGACGAATCCTACACTTCCTCTCCGTCGCGTAGCACATGCCTCGCGGTAATTATTGCCGGATATTTTTTTTTATTACATTTGAATTACGTCAGAGGCCCCGTCCAATTTTCTTCCTTCATCTCGTTATTCTGTGTCTCGATAACTCTCTCTCTTTGAACATGGATCTCGCTGTGTATACGATATTCTATCAGAAAGAATCTATTTTTTTCTTATATATGTGTATATGCGTGTATGTATACATATATATACACATATACATATATACACGCTACATATAGTGGTTTTTTTCTTTTTTCTAAACATTACGTACATGCATTCGCTGGGATGCGCGCAGAATGAAATGTGACGTGTGGCATGTTTCAGAGATCGATAGTTTATTTGCTTGCACATATCGCTCTGCACGTAATCGAAAAAGATTGGATCTTACATTTCTTGATAATCTCGCTGTTAATCATCGATTGACGCGCGAGCTCTCATAAACATTGTCGCTAATTAACTCTTATACGCACGCACACATATATACGTCGGATAAACAATATTATGTTCATAATGAAAAATCGAAGCGTCAATCTCGACACTCTACTTATAATTGGTAAGATATATACTGTATGTATTTTACACCCATCGCGCGAGATATTCTTCAATCGCATTTAAATGGATTCGTTCTTCGCGCGTTCTTTGAGCAATGTATATTTTCAACGAAAATCTTCATCGATCTCTTTCGCCTATTTATTATCTCCTCTCGTACTTGACGTACACTCTAATAAATGTGTCTGTATCTTGTATGGACATTGTACATATATACATATATTCTTGTACTCTTGTTTGAGCATGCAATCTAGCGCGACACGGCGATTCACACTCTCTCTGGTTGTGTTTAGTCACCCCGCCGGCGCAGAGGGTGCAGTTCATCCTCGGCGAGGAAGTCGGTGACGATGCGCACGAGTCGCACCCGCTCTTCTCGGAGATGGAGGAGCTCGTCAAGGATGGGGACGAGATGGAATGGAAGGAGACCGCCAGGTAAAGTTCGAATTGCGATGCCGACAATTCAATGAGCCGATTTAAGCCTTTGTACCGCGAGAACGCCCTCCTTTCAATGCGCAACGATATTTGCACATCGGAATCTAGATTCCGCGGTTTCTAGAAACGCTGTTTCATCACACGAGAGAGATAGCGCGGAATTCTCCTCATTTCGCACGCGCTACAGCGATGTAGCACACTGCAGCGATGCGATCTAAATGAGAATATATTCATGCAATTTATTTCTTTCAGTTCCTCCCCACTCTTATATAAAAACATTTTTAATATTATATCTTTAAAAATATTTCAGTATTTCAATTTTTCCACTTTGATGTTTTTTTTTATATATACCGGAAAATTAAATGAAAGATAAAAGAGAGAGGAAAAAAGAACACTAAAGCTGTTTAAACGAATTCAGTGAACTGGAATTAATGTCCATTCGTTTTTCTATCTCTAAAATATATCGAAATAAATAATAATAATAATTCGTACATACTTCTAATTTGAAAGGAGGGAGCGGAAAATAATTCCATATGGACTTATAACGCATGTATACAATGCGCAGATGGATCAAGTTCGAGGAGGACGTCGAAGAAGGCGGCAATAGGTGGAGCAAGCCTCACGTTGCCACCTTATCGCTGCACTCACTGTTCGAGTTAAGGAGTCTCATCTTAAACGGAACGGTCATGCTCGATATGGAGGCGATCAGTTTGGAGCAGATAGCCGACCTCGTCCTCGACAACATGATCAACAAAGGAGTACTGCAGGTCGAGTTGCGAGAGAAGGTAAGAGATCGGGGAGTGAAATATCACGTGTACCATGAAAATAGACAAATCTTGGTGACATTTTTCCGAACAGGTCGCGCGAATATACTTATAAACCTGCTTGGACGTTAAATATAGCGCATATAAAGTTCGCTGCTAAAGTTCACGTTCCCGTTAAAATGCGATCAATGAATTATCAGAAATAGCAGCATCATCCCGTATGGTCGCTGTCACCGTGAAAAATTCCTCGTCGAGAGTTAAAAAATTTCAAGTTAGGAACCCTATATTAGGTCATTCGCGTTTGCTTCTCGCCGCGCGAATCGATACTTCGGGATATCGCACGCATGCACGCACAAATGTATGTATATGTACGCACACGCATAAACATACATGTACTTTAATCGATCGATCTGACGAAGTATTAATATCGTTTCAGGTGAGAGAAGCCCTCCTCGTCAGACATCGACACCAGCACGAAAGACGCAAAGACAATAACATGTCGAGGTTACCGATCATAAGATCGTTAGCTGAGATAGGACGCAACCATTCCTCGTCAAAGAGTAAGTTTCACGTTACTGCCTTGTCTCAGTGTCGGTAATTACTTTTTCACAGGTCGCTGGTAACTACACAACACGAGTAGTGTATATAGTTTAACATATTGAGCACACACACGGACGCTTTCTCGAAATTGTGAGAAAAAGAGCTCCATGTAATTACGCTCCAGCGTAATTAGCACCGCATATACTTTCGCTTACTAAATATCTTTCACCATTTCTTGGCGTGCGGGCTCTTTTCTTCCCTTCTAACTTCATTTCGTGATTATATTTAGTTTTTCAGCCCCTTCTCTCCTCCTTCTGATAATTACGTTCCGATAATCTACGTTATTTTTCCGCGCTTAAGTTCTTTCAGACCTTCTTATTTTTTCATTACCTAAATTAGCCTAAACTTAATCCGATATTTTTACGCACGAGTCCTAATGACCCGACGTAATAATAGTTCTTGGACAAGATATAAGAAATTCGTAGATTCTACAATCAATCAAGAAGCCATAATTGCTGTTAAAGTAAGGTGATCAGACGTCTCGATTTTTCACCCTTTGTCCCGAATTTTTTCGAGTGCTATTCGAGACACCGATTTGTCATCATTGTCAATAATTGTCAAATAATTTTCGGATCTTTTTACCCCCCTTCCCCCGCTTCACACATTTATGAAGTGTCCCGAATTCAGGGCTGGGAAATCTGGTCACCTTACATATACCGCGAGGAGAAACGAGAAGATTACTTACAAATAACGTCTTCACGATACTCCCCGACAATCGCACATCGCTATTCTCGACACTCCCGAAACTTATTAACACGCAAGACTCATTTTCGACGGATAAAAGACGTGAGAAACGCGGAGCGATGTGTGCCCATGGCTGCTGCTTGGCGCGAAAAGATCGAGCATTTTGCGCGATTCATTACCAACGCCTAGATTGAATAACCACGATGACAACTTCGTGCGAAACGAACGCGATTGGTCTAGAGTGGTTAGTAACTTGAGCAAGTAGTTAAAGCGTCCGCCGCGGCGCGCCGTACAGATCGCGTCGTTATAGACTTCGCGCGACTTTGTTCGCATCACTGGCGCGTTCACATTCATGCACTTTTGACACTTTTGACACTTTTGGCACTTTCGGCGCTTTCGGCGCGCTGATGAACTTTTGTTGTACGTGATTGACAGCGCGCGCGTCTTCGATCTTTTCATGCCGAGCAAATGTCATGGAAACAAACCTCCGTATTCCATACGTCTTTCGCTTGTGTCCTGTGAGTCTCCTGCGGAAATAAGTATTAGAGTGCCGAAAACAACGACGTGCGGTCGTCAGGACATCTTTACGATATGTACCCATGGTACATTATTACGGAGTAATTTCCTCCTTTCTCGACACATACAACAAGATGACCAGACGTCCCGATTTTTCACTCTTTGTCCCGAATTTTTTCTAATGCTATTCGGGACATCGATTTGTCATCATTTTCAATGATTGTCAAATAATTTTCGAATCTTTTTATCCCCCCGTTTCACACATTTATAAAGTGTCCCGAATTCAGGGCTGGGAAATCTGGTCACCTTAGTTAAAGCTATAATTGAGTCGTGCGATTTGTCTTTCTTAAATATTTCGACATGAACTTCAACACCTTCACACTCGGGTCGTTGGGAATCGACGTTCCCTGTTATAATTTAATTTGATTTAAGTTACGTTTCTTTTAATTTCTCTAATATCTCCTTATTTTGTTCACATTATTACCTGCATTTTCGTTGAAGACCACCCTGACGGCGGTGGCGTGACGAAAGAGCCGGTTCCACGGCCCAGGACGTGCTAACCTTGCTAAAAACACGTACGACACGATCGACATTTTCAGATTGCGACTGTTCATGTGGTATGCATGCCTTGTTGACGTCAGATTTGCAGGAGCGTCGCGAACCCAAGGACACCTACGTACCCTCCGTCGCCCGCAGCAGCAGTTGCCCAAACTCGAACACGGCCCCGCTGTCGAAAGAGGCGAAAGACCTCAAAGGGCCATACCTTCTGGTTCCAGGTACCACTCAGGCCAGTCCGCTAAGCAGCCTTTGGATTGCGGTGCTTTCGTGGCTTTTCTAACCACACTCCACCGGAACAACAACCCACTAACAACTACAACATGCGTGTATCGATCGCCTCGTGAATTTCCATCCGCTTTGCGCTGCCGTCCGTGTTAACGCGTAACGAAACTTTTATGAGTCCTGAGCGAAACTACGACATGAACCTCGAGAAGCAATCGAAATCGCGCGCGATCTTTCTGCTTGATCGTACTAGAACCGAAGTTTGCAAATTTCCACTTGTTTCCACTCACTCAATATCTTAACTCGGAGACGGCAGCTTGCACAAGTTTATCGCGAATTTCGAGAGCGAGCGATACGCTTAGCTGTAACTTAGTATCATATGTGTTACAACGCGTTGCCGATCGAGCGATGATCGAGAAGGCGACCTCGATCATCGTTGGATCCGTCGCTACGCGTTGAATCTTGCCATCATGATCATTTGTGCTCCCCGAAATCGTCCAATGTTTCTTAGTGATGGATCGGTGATGGATTGTCCCATGTTAACTGATCGTCAATGTAGAATCCACTGCGAATCCTCGGCAAGTCATCGAGGCTGCTGTTCCCGTCGCATCCTCCCCCCAGTGCCCGATCCAGTCGACAAATCTGTGACTCACCATCGTTTTCTCTTTTCTTTTGTCAGACGAATTCGGCATACCCCACGTGGTGGGATTCACGACGTGGTTCGCGATGTGTCCGCTAAAAGGTAGCTAGCTCGCCAGCTGGTTTATTCTCGACTCTACGAATCTCTCTGCACACAACAATTCTACTATTCACCATGTCTTCCGCTTATTCTAGAGTCTCTTCTCTGTTGTTATCTTTCGTATTCTCTATCACGTTATCGACTCGCGATCGACGCGCGCCTCACCCGACGATCTCGTCGATCCCGCCACCTACTATTTTAATTATCTCGATGGGTACTGTAGAGGTTGTTGTGCACAAGAACTTTGATTATACAATCCGTCTGGCCACTCTCCGCGCGCGAAACGGGAATCATCGCCGGTAATCTCGGCAATGTTCGCGTCTTCAGTCGCGAAACGCTCGCGATGTATATCCGCGTTGGACTCGTATCGGCTCATTTCCGCGGAACAGACTTGACTCGCGACGGTGAGAGAAAACGGTAAGATGATTCTCTGCTAAACGCTACTTCCTACGAGAGAAACGCACGTCATTGTCAACGAGAGAGAGCCAGACTCGACGACATTGCGATGGATGGATGGATGAAACGCGTCCGACTTGTAACGATCGCGACTACTGCACAGTAGTATATTCCGCTTCGGCGAATGTGGAGATTCAAGTCGATCGTTAAAGTCAACTCTATCGGTTCCTCGGTGTCGGAGTTGTCCTAGATATTCTCGATAGTCATCGAGGTGGAATTGATTGTGGTTGCTAACTTCGGATACGTCCACGTTCTGTGAGAAGTGGATTGTGGCTGCCGAGCGTGATCCGCACTCTCGCCACACATTCGACATTAAATACGGCCGTCCAATTATTCTCTCGTTGAATCGCAACCGCGTTTGTCTTCGGTACAAGCAAGCAGAACTTGTGCAAGCCAAACGGACGTATTTGGCGTCGAACGCGCGACGAGAGCGCGGAAGGGTCGATATTTTAGATGGTACTTCCATGTGTTTGCGAATAATCGGTTCAGTTCCTCCGCCGAACGTGACATTATTGCAATTCATCGCTCGCAGTATCATCGGTCATTGATCAACATGCACGCTCCCCCCAGTTGACGACGTTTACAATTCTGATCACGAGGCATGGATCTTTCGTAGTGATCGTACTACTATGTGCACGCAACTCTATGTAAATCCTGTCTAATGTATATTTATTACTACTAACTGTGCATTTGTGGTTCTATCAGTGTCATAATCGACTAATATCTTTACAGTATCCTAGCTAATGTAATCCTTATCGTCCTCGTAAGACGAGCGCAAAAGACGCACATATATATATATATATATATATATATATATATATATATATATATATATATATATATATATGTATAAATAATATATTTCGCTATCGAGAAGCCGAGAGACAGTTAATAATATATTCGTCCCTACACGTAACTCTATTTCTCCTCTCTAAAACCTGTACGGGAAAAAACTACGTAAAGACAATTTATTCTCTCTCTTCTTTGGACATTATATTTTCTGCGATATTTATGCGGTGTGTGAAGACGTCGAGTTGCCCATACACGTGTATCTGTAATCGTCATGAGTCGCGCCCTTGCGAATCTTTAAGGTAGACGGCGGAACACCTCGTAGCCAGCCATCTGTTCACTAAGTGGTGAGAATGCGCGAACTGTTGGAGCCTTACGGTCACCGTGAAACTTGCTGGCGTATATATGGAAATGAAACGACGTTAGGGAAGCATTAACGCACAGTGACGCCGTCCGAGAAAATTTACGCGACGTTGTGGCTATTTAGCTACAGTCGGCTACAGTCGACCCTGACGTTCCGCGCAACGACGGCACTTTCCACGTAAAAATAGAAGTGGTGCGCGTGTAATTCACTCTTTCTCCATTTCTCTTTCTAACAATCAGCGTTCAGTTGTACATGAAACACTCTGGAACGAAACTATTCGCCGCACGCGACGTTTCCTTCCCGGATTAGAATTCAAGATCGAGATTAAAACACCTCTGACACGAGTCAATTTATTTAGCCGCGCACAGTGGCCACGTGTTAGGCTAAGGAGACTTCCTACTTGCCATTTAATACCCAAACTGTTTAAAGAATTTAATTGGATAATAACTAGTCTTTTACACAAACCTACTTAATATCTAATACTCGTCATCGTGTTACAACACGATTCTCATAAAGGAATCCTAGTGATACACCTCGTACTTTTGTATAAAAAACACGAGAATGTCGTGATCCGTCTGCAATGTGTTAGGAGGTAAACGAACCGCTTGATTGAGCAAGTGTACGAGCACGTACTCAGTCGACGGCGACCAATGCCAACTACCCTCGTACTAAGACAATGAGGAGAGGAACCACGTGACCTAAGCGCGCCGCGCGTTCTCGCTATCACTTCCGACAAGCGTAAGCGAGCACGTTGACCTTGACCGAATAATCACGAGCAGTCTAAAGCTTCTAGTTATATAAATAGGATGTAAAAAGAGTATATCAATATATAAAAGTAATCAAAATATCATAGATAAAAATATCAAAGATAAATAGATTGAATGGAATGTATAGACAAAAATAATATATTTTCGTCCAACACGCATTGACATAACTTCATTTATCGTCCAAATTGTAATAACGAATTAAAATAGATAGACGTGAAGTTGACGAGTTACCAAGCGTAACGAAATATTAAGAGATTAATTTTTTAATCGAGATAACTGTGCGATTTACATAAACGTATCATTACGCGTTGTTGAAAAATTGATTACGAAACTTATAACTGATGGAAAATGACAGATGACAGATTACCACATGCGTGATATCGAAATATCAGAGACAAAAGTCTTATCTAGGCTAAAAATAAACAATCATTATTTAACTCACATTAATATCGCGTCTCATGATCGCGAGTGATAAACTTCGAAAGCTCACGGATAAGTAAGCCGTCAAATGAACGTAATCGAAATTTCAACTACAAGAGACTCTTCTACAGTCATAATGGACAATCGCCGTGGAAACCGCATTAACGTCACGTCTCGCGTTCGCGAGTAACAAGCGCTGAAAGTTCATCGTCAGTCTGACAGATGAGATTCCAGGTACGCGCGATAGAAACTTCAATGACAAGAGACTCTTCTAGACTCATAATAAATAGTCACCGTGCAAACCGCGTTAACATAGCGTCACGTGTTATTAGGCCTGAAAGTCTGTCATGTGACAGACAGGTGAAAATCCAGGTGTGCGAGAGAAAAATTTCAAACGTACAACACTGTTCTCCTACCAAAATAAGTCATCAGGGAAACCGCATTCCCGTCGGATCACGCGTTCTCGAATAATAAGGCCCGAAAGCTTGTCATGTGACAGACAGGTGAAAATCCAGGTGTGCAAAAAAAATTTTAAACGTACAACACTGTTCTTCTAACAAAATAAGTCATCATGAGTAATAAACTTTGGAGCTTATAATGAATCAATGTTTTCGTAAAGCACTTTTGAAAGATATATTAATTCCATTTTACAAATCAATCTATATTTGCAAAAGAAGCGACTACGGTTTATTAAATGCGCAAAAAATATTACCTAAACTCTCTGTGGATTCTAGGAGAGAAGATATCGACGTGTATTGGGTTGATCGCTTATCGCTGTTTGGGTTAAGGGGTTGTGGTAGGACCGCGCGTGGCTCGAACAGTATTACGTTACATTCTTCGTAGCGGTTCTGAGAAATGTAAGCGATAGCTGGCATTGACCTTGACCGACTAACCACGCGAGCGATCTTAAGGACTCGGTTCGATACTAATGTTGATATCTTTCCTACTAGATGTCGCAGAGACTTCGGACAGGATAGAGACCCTACAATAAGAGTCTGGCCATCAGAATTCTGGCAAAATTCTTCGAGAAAGATATATATTTCCTAGAAGGTCTCTAGAAAACATATATCTTTCTCTCTCGAAGGATTTTGCCAGAATTCCTCTGATGGCCAGATTCTTACTACAGGGTCTCTAGGACTTGTTGGAAAGATATTTTCGCGCATCTGTGTGATGCGTTATCCTTCTTTCCTTGTTTAAAATTAATTAGAAAAATGGCATGCAAAAAAGTGATATTATCAACATGTAATAGTGACAAAGATACAAATAGATTAGAAATGGAATTAAAAAACGAAAAATAATTCCACGTAATAATCGTAACGCATTAACGTAACTTTAATTTTTTTTACTAAGATTTTAGTTACGGAATTTAAAACAGACTTTAGTTACGGAATTTAAATCGATACGACTGATGGGCAACGAAGTATAATCAACTGAAATATCGGTAACAAAGCGTCTAACATAGAAATGAAAGAACTGTCACGCAATTTGCATTGAGATTAAAACCAGATTGCCGTGTACAAGGCAAGAGCTACTTTTAACGGCGACCTATATCCGGCTAATCGTTGAGGGATTTTTTTCGTGCAGTGAAGATATGCAGAAGCACGTGGAACTTATTACGACGAGTAACATATATACACCGATATTGTCGTATCACGCAAATGTCATAATGTATGTTCGTAACCTAATCGAATTTTTTATAAGATTCGTCTCCGCGGGTCATACAAAGCCGAGGCGTTTCGCGTCACGACGGCGTTATCGCCTCCTTATACTACTTCCCGCTCGCACTTATCCTTTGTAAATAAACGACGCTCCTGGTGTTGTGTTTCATGCTCATTTTTAGTGGAGGAATCGAATTCCGCTCCGGCGATCGCCGGCGCAACAAGTCAGGGCAGTGGAGCAGCGCTGAATGCTGGTAGCCGCTTCCTTGCGATACCCGGCAATCCCGGTAAACCGCTTTTCTGTCGCTCGCTTCTACTCTACTCAGAAACACACCTTCACACTCACGAGCTCCGTTAGCTGAAGCTCCGTACACGTTACACGTAGATCGTACACCTGCAGTAGCAAGTAATTCGTCCTGCTGGCGTCGAAGAGAAAACCGCCGCGAGAGTTCGCGCGGAACGGAGAAACATTTTTACTTCACGCAAAACGAGAAGCTCAACGAACTCCCAGCGGTTCGTTCGCGACAAGTTTCAAATTAACGGGAAACCTCACACGCGCCCGATAACGATGGTTGAACTGTGCCAGGCGTCATTATTCCTCCTGCCATTTCGTTGAATTAGCCGAGCTCGAGACAAAAAGTTGTGGCGATCTACCTCTATACTTTTTATTCATTGCTTTCGTATTTACTTCTTACTTTATCTCGAGAAACAAGATCCGAAGATATATGTATCTATATATACTGCTCGATATTCCTAGCAGTAGTGGTCATTCAAAAAAAATACACACACACACATATATACATACAGGGTGTCCCGAAACTACCACATGCTATTTTAATGGCAAATTCTTTAGATCATTTTAAAACGAAAACTTTCGTACAAAAATGTCGAAGCTATAATAGTTTTCAAACGGGAAGCGATTATATTTCACCAATGACTAAGATTTCGCGCGCTCAGACACGCCGAAATGACAAGTGATAAAAGTGTTCCTATGAATGTCACTTTTTTTACAATATTATGATCATTGTATAAATCTACAATAACATTGTCATAATATGTTTTACCGCTTCTCTACGCATTACATTATATTTACATATTTTTACATATTATTACATATTTTTTATACGAATAATAGTTGTAAGATATCTTAAATATGATTCAAGTAAAAATGACATATGTCAACTTAATCTGTCAAAATATCGATCAATTATTATCATGAAAGTGTCCACTATTCTATACGGCAGATTTATCACTTGTCATTTCGGCGTGTCTAAGCGCGCGAAATCTCAGCCCTGTTATTGGTGAAATATAATCGCTTCCCATTTGAAAACTATTATAGCCTCGACATTTTTGTATGAAAGTTTTCGTTTTAAAATGTTCTAAAAAATCTGTCATTAAAATAGCATGCGGTAGTTTCGGGACACCCTGTGTATGTGTTCTCTCTCTTTCTTCGACTCTGTCGACAGACTGCTAGGAATATCGAGTAGTATCTAAAGTGGAGTCGCGTCGTTATCACCGTCCTCGCTCTACTACGATAAAACTGGGAAAATTTACGGTTTGAGCTATCCTTGCAAAAGATTGCTGGTAAGCATCTTTGACATTTGACGTAAGGGCCTGTAACGTCTTGAGTACGACGGCGTCCGATCTAACGCAATAGTTCACTCAATCCGCTTAATCGAATGCCTTCGTTCTCCTCGTCATCGATTTCGTTACGCCAATTCGCGATTTGATTCAGTTATTTTACGATCTCACACACACACAGAAAGAAATATTCGAAAATTTATTTATGGGACACAAAGTATATTTCTGTAAAATAAAGTTAATTTCTGTGAATAAACTTCATATCCCACAAGTAAGTTTTCGAGTGCTTTCTTCTCAGCGTGTTAGTAATTGAATTTAATTATGCATTGCCCCAAAAATACACGCAAGTTACTCGCAAGTTGCATTTCCCTGATTAATAATGCACCTCATTTCCGATTACGCGTGATTTCTATCGCAGACAGACAATCGTCCCGTTCTACATAGACAATTTAATCACATTGCTTAATGAGAATTGGCTGTAACGCGACATAATCTCTTTGGTAAAATCACATATCTAATTTGTGAGATTCGAAATTGTATCAGTTTATCGTTCGTTAGTTTCAATTTCACAACGTCAAGCATCGTCGCTGTTCTTTCTCGGCGCATACAGCACACGGCGATTATTTACCCGCCATTTTTCAGTTTTCAACTTTCAGTGGAAATGCTCGCTCCTTCTTTCTTCGCGGAGAGTTAATGTGTGAGTGAGGTCTGTCTTGAATTCATAAACTACTTCCCCTCCTACGATCACGGACCAACACCTTCCCACTGAAAATTATTTCCAGACTTTCTCGCTGTTCTTGCAGCAGGAAGAAACCGTATGAAAAAACGAGGTCGTGCGGAAACTCATGAATCTCCGCGAGAGTGTAATGATTTCGCGACAAGTTAAAGATGCGTTTACCCTCGTCGACCTTTACAAGAAGGCCGCCTACCTTAAAGCGGAACTAGCTATACGCAGGCTAGCTAATTTCGCGAAAGTGGCGGGTTTGCGTGAACACCCGGAAACGCCCGCGCGTGGATGTGTGAAATTCGAGTCGCGTGAAATTGCAATCTTGCAATCAAACCAAGGCGAAGAGAGGAAGATTACGCGCTCATCTCGAGGAGTAGTGACGCACAGGCGGATGAAAACCGAGTCGAAGTTTTGATTCTACAATCTAAATCTACAATCATGAATCTAAAAACAATCTCGTTGAACTCGAAAGACTAATGAGGAATCTTAAAGTACAACACTATGTAACTTATATTGTCCTACCTTGCTACAAGTGCTTGGTCAATTGTTGAACTTACGTTAAAATCTCGGAAACCATGATGTATCGCTGCCTCTACGTCTAGACTCCCGATCGAGTATCCTAGCTCCCGGATAATCCGTCATGGTACTCAGAAATTCACTTATGACAGTACACTGATACAGACTATTACACAGCACTGCGCATTTTAGCACCGATACAGAGCATCCTGTCTCCCGGTTGGGGCTTCACGCCATGGAATTCTCGCACTTGGCGCCATTAAATATGGCGAACGCGCGTTACTTTCCTTGGAATTTCCGTTTCGCGACGCCCATTTCAGGCACTTGTTCGAACAATATTTCGTTACAATACGAACGCGCGAGACTTACACTCGGCACTCCCGACAATGGACCTGAACACAAAGATTGTCGCAATCGTTTCCGACAGTGTCGTAAACGTAAGTCGGAAGTCAACGTACAAGGATTGACGTAGACGTGTGTACGCTGCATCAAATATGATTAGACAACATAATTGATGCAGCATACATCTACGTTAATCCTTGTGTGTTGACTTCCGACACCGACTTACGTTTATGACACTGTCGTAAACGATTGCGATAATCTTTGTACTCAAGCCCACATGCGCACAACACTCTCCTCCAACAAACCAATAATGCGAGAAATGATGTCCCAGTATTGCAACCTCTTGCCGACAAAACTTGCCGATCTTACTGATCGAGCCTTTATACGCATGCGTTAACTACTGCGCACTCTATTGCACACGTATAAACTAAATTAGTCATGGGTAAATTAATAGAATGCGTTGATTGGCTGTCAGATAAAGAATTTCTAGAGTATCCGGAGACAATATTACAAACCTTAGAAATGCTCTATCCGACAGCCAATCAGCACATCCATACGGCAAATGAAATTAGCCTATCATTTCCTTTCATTTGATGAGAAAATAAGGGATCTATTTCTGTGTGAAATTACGACCTCTGGACGCGCAAAGAAGCAGCCAGCGATCCATCATGTACTTCGAGATGTGTAAAATCATTTACTATGCAAAAGATTTCCGATTTTAATAAATATTTTAATAAATATTTGTTAAAATATTAATTAATATTTTAATCGAATATCAGATAATTTTAAAATATTTTTTTCTTTGAGAAAAATCAATTAAATTCTTTCAACATGGAGAAAAAAGTAAGTAAACATTTATACATCAAGATGAGGCAACAGTTTGTATAATAAATCTGAAGCTTCTGTATTGTTCTTCCACGTTCCACGGAATTTGCAAGAAAAATGTAGAATGAAAATTTTGACTTAGGAAAAGCCATCACTGACTACATTTATATAGCAACTGACACTGATTTAATACCTATAGATATCAGTCTATGTTTATATGACTAACATGATTTGTTGATAATTCTTGATGTTGTGAATACTAGTGTTACATGGTTTATAGTATATATTATAGTATATATTATAGTATATTTATAACAATTGTTTATACATTATGTAACGTCAACATATTTACAACATCAGAAATAATTAAATTGGTTTTCTGTTCATGTAAACATGAGTGTTGTATTAAAACAGCTTTAAGTTGCCACATAAATATAGTCATTTTCCATTGTACTACTGACAGAGGATATAATTTACAATGTGCTTGAAAAAATGCAGTAGGCAGTAAGCTAGATCTCTTTCAGGCCAAGAGCCAGGCAGCAATGGCATGGACCGAAGTCCCAGCAGCATATCCATCAGCAGGAATCACAGCTCTTCTGCTTTGGAGAACGGGGATGCTAATCACAGGGTTTGTAGACACATTATTTGTTAAATTAAATTCTTGTGTGATTTAATATGCCAGCCTAGTAATACAATGAAGTTCAATCCAGTGATGTTTGATTGTATTCCCAATTACTATGTGAACGCAATTAAACATTGCTAATCTGTACGCTTATCTATGCTAATCTGTACTGATATCACTATGCAACGATCTCAGGATTATTATGAGACAGAGCAAAAAACTACTTATAAGTAGTCTGTTTTTTGTAGTTGAATTGGCTGTACTAGCTTGCACTCTAGTTCTCTTTTTCTCTTTTATATACTAAATTACAATTATATATACATTTCTTTTTAAGTTTCAAGAGTGTGCACTACTTAATTTACAATATAGCTAGAATAGTTCTGCATCTAAAATTACATGTATACAGTCGAATGTGAGTCCATTGATTGCAGTTGTTGAATGATAACTTGGTAGTATCCTTCATTGAACAGGCTTGCGAATAATTAATTACTGTTAAAATTAATTATCATGTTCAATTGACGATTAATATGAACTAATTCAATTGGAGACCGTTTAACTAACAATTAACTCCAACTAATTTAATCGAAGACTATTGATTTGACGATTGGCGATTGATTTCAACGAATAAATCGTCAATTAGTTGAAACATCGATTAGGATCAGTTATTAAATCGAGAAAAATTTTATTGATACTCTTACAGAGTTCTGATATCGAAAAACACGAGTATCGCGACAATCGATCGATTACTTTATCACATTTTTAACAGTAACGCTTAGTATCGTGCAGATAATAACGAGAGATATAATAGCAGTTAGAGCAAGTTTCGCCGATAAGAAAGTTCGGCCGGAATTGTACTTCTTTAATGTCGAGATCCTACCTTCCGTTAAGTACTGCGAGCGGCTTAATCTGGCAAACTTCAGCTTCGCTTTCTCATTAGGGTAATACACACTTTATGAGGAAGATACCAGCCGGCGCCGAGGCGAGCAACATACTCGTGGGTGAGGTCGACTTCCTGGATAAAACTCTGTCCGCTTTCATTCGATTGAGCCAGGCCGGGATAATGGGCGACTTGACAGAGGTGCCTGTGCCGACAAGATTTATTTTCGTCCTGCTGGGACCCATGGTAAGGAACTTGCGTTTACGTAGCGCCGTGGAAACGGAAGTAAGCGCGAAGGACGCCGATTAAAACATGATTGCGACTCACTTAAGCGCACATCGCGTCAACATTACGTCTCGTTTCGTTTCAAAACCTGGACATGCAAAAATTTGTTGTATGTACGATACTCCCATGCTTTAATTAATGTATCGTATATGTGACAGAGATGAAGAATGAGTTCACGCTTCATGAATTCAGGCGAGATCTACGACAGAACGATTCTCCGTTACTCGGCGTCAGAACTTTCGCACCACAGAACGTAATGCTCGATATCGCCATAGATGTGACGCTGTTTTTATCATTCCATACAAAAGGCAAAAAAAGGATTGCAGCACGTGTCTTTTCAATATATGTTGGAATAGACGGAAATTGTACAAGAAAATCTTTTCTGAAACTCGTCAAACTGAAGTGTGCACCAACCTTTTCATCGCCGATTATATTCTGCGTGCAGAATTATATCAAAATTAAGTACTAATTAATATCTAATTTAGTACTGCGTTCCTGAGTTTAGTGTCTCAACGTTTTAACAGGATTTCGGTTGAAAATGTGGATTCTACCTTTCTGTACAAGTCCAATCGATGTAGCTTTTATGCTCAATTAAGATAAAATCAGAAATACAGTAAACCAATATCAATGGTCGCTACTTGAAATTTATCCTACGTGAGAACGTTTAGATTTAGATTAGAGTTTTTTATTTGAGTCATATGATATATGTGACATTACACTCGTAATCGCGATTCAGCTGAAAGTTTCATATCTAACTCTAAATCGAAATCTGAATATCTCACTTGAGGCAAATTCTTGTTTGGTGTGCGTCGTCCTCATAAATGTACTGACCATTGGTTTTTTATAGCCTCTATTAGTGAAGAACTAATGACTCATTTATAGGGGGATATTTTGCATGTATCTCATCGTTCTTGTGGATATCGCTATTCCCAAAATATTGAAGCACACAGCCCATTTCTCGAGAATTTCACGTAGGTTAGACGATGCTGAAATATCAACACGCGTTAATATCATCGCGCGTCGGTGATTTGCATATAGAACACTCAACTGCGATCCTGTCGTGTAAAGTTGCCAGACACTCGTACAAGCGTGGTGGTGTTCGTTAAGGAATTCCTTCAAGTTCCCTTGAATCGACAATTATCTCAGCGAATCGATACCTACCTACTCGTCTGTTACAATTGTGTGTATCAAGGAGGTTATCAGAGGCAATTATCTTCCACCCTTGACCTTGAGTGGGTAAGGTCTAAAAGAACGGTTTAACTGATCTCGCAAACGCCTTGCGCAAGGTCCTTCTTCTCGACATTTGCGTGTCTGTGCACGTTCGACATGGACGTCGATTTAAAGCCTGCTGAAAAGGCCACCTCTATCCGCAGCAGCTGACAATTAAAGCCTCCACTAGCAACTGTGCATGCTGATTGTGCTCGTTGACTATTGTCTCGCGAGACGCATATGCAAAATAATTTCTTTCCGGCACGAACGCGTGACTGGGACGCGGTCGCGAACTTATTATGATCCGACATGCGACAGTGAATCTGATTCTTCGCGGAGAAGGAGCAGACGTGCGCGCATACGCAAAAAGCATACGTTATCGTTAAAAAGAAAAATTCAACGTGCGTGCGTCGGTCTTTAAAAATAACGTTCAAGTGAGAATAAAATGCGCGGATTTCCATCGCTATCAAAATTCTCGAGGGAATTGCGATTATACTTTGAAAAAACACTGATTCTCAAAACAAAATACGTCTCTGTTAAAACAATATCGTTCTTCTAGAAATAATCACAATTATATGAATTATTAATAATTCTTTAACACATATCTGAAATATAAAAAGACCATCCTACGCGTTGAAAACTAACGTCATCTAAGATCGAACTCTCTCTCTCTCTCTCTCCCTCTTTCTTTGATGACGTTTCTCCTCTTGGATAAAAATGAGTTGTTCACGTCATTACTTTCTACGTAGTAAGTGATTTCTCTATGATGAAGATTATTTATCGATGAACAAAAATAATAATCTATTCCCGCGCGCTGCGCGTGGCTAATAGCTGTGATCCCTTTCGCGTCTTCTCTCTACCTTACTTTTTTCCTACCCTTCGATATTAAATAATCTTTCTTTATATATTTTCTGAATTATGCAATAAAGTATAATAATCAAGTTACAAAATTAAAAAAAGAATAATGACAAGTGAAGAATATATGCGTATACAGTATTGATACAACTAGATTAATTTTGTAAGGCCAGGCAATATGAAGAAAATATAATATTTGCATATTATTTGTTTTCAGGGTAGGAACTCAGGTTTCGGCAGAGAGATTGGTCGTGCCATGGCGACTCTGATGTCTGACGAAGTCTTCCACGACGTGGCTTACAAGGCGAAAAATCGAAATCATCTCTTAGCTGGCATCGACGAGTTCCTAGACGCCGTAACGGTATTGCCACCCGGTGAATGGGATCCGACAATTAGGATAGAACCGCCAGCCGCTATACCGTCGCAGGTGAGAACAGCGTGAAATTTTCAACTTCTGATTGTAATTCTTTGGAGGAAATTATCTTGCTGTTTCCATAATTGTGCATGTAAAATGACGTTTTCAGGAAATCAGGAAGAGGCCCAAGGAGGAGAAGCCTAAGGAGGAACTCGACGAGGAGGCTGACGAGCAAAAGCAGAGAGAGGAGTCCGGCCTTGCGAGATCCGGGAGACTTTTCGGCGGACTGATCAACGACGTGAAGAGAAAAATCCCATTTTATTGGTCCGACTTTAAGGATGCCTTGGCGCTTCAATGCGTGGCGTCCTTCATTTTCTTGTACTTCGCCTGCTTGTCGCCCATCATCACCTTCGGCGGTCTTCTCAGCGAGGCTACCGGCAAGAACATGGCCGCTATGGAATCGCTGGTCTCTGGTTTTGTCTGCGGCATAGGATATGGCTTCTTCTCCGGCCAACCACTGACTATACTCGGTTCCACCGGTCCCGTCCTGGTTTTCGAAACAATCGTCTACGAATTCTGCAAGTGAGTCCTGACGAGATCTAATATTCGCATTTCGACTAACTTCTTAAAGTGACATTTAATCTTATTTAATTAGTACTGTCTGTTGAATCTGACTAGTAAAAATAGATTAGACGACACGAAGCGTGTCGAATATAAGTTGTTGTATCAGTCAAAATTTATCTCTTTTTTTATTCCGAAATAATTCTAATCAGATTCTTATACTTTTTACAGACAGGTCGATTGGAGTTATATGTCTTTCCGTTTCTGGATCGGCACATGGACCGCCCTCATCCTAATGATCCTCGTGGCAATAGACGCGAGTGCTTTGGTCTGTTACATTACTCGTTTCACGGAGGAGAACTTTGCCACTCTTATCGCCTTCATCTTCATTTACAAGGTAAGAAAAATCGTGCAACTGTCGATCATTAAACCTTCACGTCTGAAATATTGATTCGATAATGCCTTCTATCTATTTTCTTTATTCAAAAAAAGAAATCATTTCATTCTAAAATATCCTTTAGTAAAAAAATATTATACGGATGTTTCATCGTTTCAAATATAAATCGTATTTATAATATTTTTTATGTTATGATTATTTAACATATTATATTTTTCTATAAATATATTTCAGGCCATCGAGAATGTGTTATCGATCGGCAAGAAATTCCCCCTGAACACCCATCCTAGTGAAACGTTGGGCTACGATTGCTGGTGCAACCCACCAAACACCACTCTGCCATCTAGTTACGACAACGTGAACTGGACGATGCTGAATCAGACAGCATGCGAGGTATTCGAATAATATGCGAAGAAGCCAAGCACGGCAATTTGCTTATTGAATACAGAAAATAATCCTATCACATTATACAAGACGCTTTTGTGAACGCGCTTTAATCAGTCGCCTACGGTAACGAAATTGTCAAAGCGACTTTTATTTTTAGCGTATTACACATATAGCGTTGTATCAATTTACTGCAATCACAGAAATTGCAATTTCAGCACTGCTCTCTTGCTCTCGAAACCGCGATATAGCATTGATTATAAGCATTGCAGTCTCAGCTTGTATTGCGGTTTATTTGACGCATTTGCGTACAGTAAAAAAACTCACAAAAATATACAAACGTCTCGTTACGCTCGTTTGTGGCAATCAAACGCGCAACGCTTCTGGGCTTCTTCGCGAAAAATTACAAGCTCTCGTAAGCAACGAGATTACTAGTTGCTCAGTCTATCCAGTCAATCGTTGGCGGCGCAACGCGATATCGATCCAATTCACCTCACGACATCTCTTTTAACATCATGTTCGTTATTGCCTCTTTCAGAACTACAATGGCACGATGGTAGGCGATGGATGCAACGTGCCGCATTACGTACCCGATGTGTTTCTCATGTCAATTATCCTATTCATGGGCACGTTCTTGCTATCGGTGGAACTTAAAGATTTCAAGAATGCTTTATTCTTTCCCTCGAAGGTAAGCAAGATGTACATACGCTAATCGAACAACTTTGAACTGACATGATAAAAGATCAGTTTTATCTTTCTAACTGAAGAAAATACACAAGATCCTTTGATGCAAAACGTCACTATATTTTATATGCACTCAATTTCCGATATATATTCGAATGGTTATCGTTTCACATGTTCGTTCTTTTATTCTTTCTTAATGTTTTAAAATGATAGTATTATTCGTTAATTCGATTTTTTTTAATTTCATTGTCAACTTTTTAAATATCAACATTGGTTAAATTTTTAAAAATTTAATTTTTTGTCATAACAATGCTGCACTCTTTTTATAGGTGAGACAGGTGGTGAGTGACTTCGCGGTAATAATTGCGATATTCTCCATGAGCACATTGGATCACTTTGTGGGCATTCCAACACCGAAGTTAGAGGTGCCAGCGGAATTTAAACCGACGTTGGAAGGACGAGGATGGGTGATTTGGCCTTTTCAGGAGAATCCGTGGTGGAGTGCTGTTGTGGCGTGTCTCCCCGCTTTATTGGGCACTATATTGATCTTCATGGATCAGCAAATCACGGCCGTTATAGTCAATAGGAAAGAGAACAAGTTAAAGGTGAGCGATCACATCGTTTTTTTTTTAATTTTTTTTATCGAATCTTCTTCATCTCTTTTACCAGTGAAGTACCGTTAGAACGTGAAAAGAAAACGCATCTCTTCATATATTTAAATGATAATTGATTGTCTAATAATGCGTGTGACCATATGTAATTGCTTATATTTTTAATTAATATCGGTTAATAAAATCTTATCCCTGCATCGATCTTATTCGTCGATGCTTTTTTAGAAAGGATGCGGGTATCATTTGGACCTCTTCGTTCTGGCGATACTGATCGAGATATGCTCGGTGATGGGACTCCCATGGTTCGTCGCGGCGACAGTACTCTCCATCAACCACGTGAACTCACTGAAATTAGAATCCGAATGCGCCGCGCCGGGCGAGAAGCCGCAGTTTTTGGGCGTCCGCGAACAGAGGGCCACTCACATACTGATTTTCCTTATGATCGGTTGTTCGGTCTTGCTAACGCCGATGTTGCGAAACATACCGATGCCGGTGCTGTTTGGTGTCTTCCTATACATGGGCGTCGCGTCGTTAAAGGGTCTTCAGTTCTTCGATAGGATTCTCATCATGCTGATGCCCGTCAAGTACCAGCCGGACTATATGTTCCTGCGTCAGGTGAGCAAGCGAATAACCAGATGTCTCGAATAACTCTGAAGTAACTCTACGTATTATATATTTATTTTGCGACTTATTTGTTAACTGTAAAATACGTTTCCTTTTAAACGAAATATTTTAGGAATTGTTGGAAACTTTAGATGATTAGTCGAATTATTGTTTCCGAGTGTATTGTTTTGTTTTCAATGTTTTCAAGCAAGTTCGTACTCTTTCAGGTGCCGTTAAAGCGCGTACACATGTTTACTGTGATCCAACTAACCTGTCTCGCTTGTCTCTGGATCATAAAATCCTTCAGCACCACTTCTATTCTGTTTCCTTTAATGGTGAGTAAACCTTTTAAGGGTACTTCGACGCTCCATGTAGAATAGCCGGACATTTCAACAGAACCAACGTTTAACCAATCTATGGCTGTCAGTCATTAGCTGAGAAAATACGTCATCCAGTTATGAGCCATTACCAGCACATAATTGATTGCCTTTTCTCGCAGTGCAGCTCATAAAATTTAACAGCTATTTTATTGCGGTGATATTAGTAACGCGATTTATTCGAAACGTCGTAATAAATCTTTATAGACTCATATAATTGAGGTATCATCGAATCACAGAACATAAATTGGAACAGCCTATAAAAATTAATTATAATTATAAGAAATTTTTTTTGCTGAAATCAGAATCGGAATTGCGCTTTTAATCGTGGATTTATTTTCAGCTCGAGAAGAAGTCGATCGATTTTTTTTAAATATACTTCTAAATTAATTTATAATACAAAGAAACAATTGTCCTTTCATTGGAAGTGGGACAGTCGTCTCAGCTTTCAAATGCGATTTGTTTTACGTCGCTAAACTTTCCTATGCCACTTTCCTATGTCGAGATACCGACGAGTGGCAAATCATCCAAAAAGGTACTGATGACCGCCGAGAATGTCGTGCGGCGTCGGTCTCAAAGAAGCGAAAGGTATCAAGTGCACGGCATGAACGTACTACATTGTGTTACGTGCGTGTACCTGTTATCGGCAAAAGGCCACATGTTTCGCAAACATTTCTCTCTTGATTGATATATAGTTAGAGAGAGCGTTTTCACACCAGAATCCTATTAATTTATATAAAAAATAATCTATTAATTTTACTTATTTATTCGTCTTATATTCAATGAATTCAAATTTTATTCGCTGATTAAACTAGATCGTTTGTAATGTTAGACATTGCTTTTTAATAAAAAATGAAAATCAGCAAATTTCGTGTTTTACAGCTTGTGGTGATGATCGGTATACGCAAATCCCTGGATCTAGTGTTCACGCAACGCGAACTGAAGATCCTCGACGACGTAATGCCGGAGCCGAGTAAGAAGCACGCCGATGATCTTCGCAAGCTGGAGAACGGCGAGGTTAGCACCGTGACACGAATATTAAACGGCATCATCTGTTGCAAATAGCATACAGACGGTGATCGCGTGGCGAACACTCGCCCCGTGGTCACCATAAACCTCTCTGACTTCGGGGAATCCGCCTTTTGCCGAAGAAACAATGTACATACCACAACGAGCGATCGGACGAACATGACCTAGAACGAAATCAGAGATTTTCTGTTTACTTTTTTTTTCGTCGCTGCGCAGAGAGACCAGATGCGAGTAAAGACACGGTCTTCGGGCACGAAGCTCTGAGATGTAATTCTGTAGATGCGCAAAGTCATATATATATGCGGAATAATCATTAAGGAAGACAATCTGACCTTCGATAATTTCGAAAACGGGTGGACCAACAATTTCTACGATTCTCACTTTTTTACCGTCGGTTAGTTTTTACCATTTTTTATTGTCAGATCGACACAACGCTTTACTCTCTTCTGGTCGAGAGTTTTGCGTTCGCAAAGAACGCCTTTTCACCGCCTAAGTACACCAGGATGACGAGAATGGTACTACGAAAATACATACGCGGACTGCTCTCTGGGGCTATGGAGCTCGTTTTTCTTTCTCAAAGCGCGGAAGTATTTGTCAGTCGAAATAAGAAATGAAAATAAATGTCAACTGTTATATTACCCAAGCGAGCGCGCGGAAGAAGTTTTCACTCCGCATTCCAGTCGAGCCGAGAAAGAAGTAGATCTCGGCGTTGTACAATACCCTCTCGTCTTCCATCCAACACGTGTGCCAAACAAAGAGTCCTTATCCTTAACCCAGGTGGTATACGAACCGACCAGTATTAAAAAATAATAATAAAAGAAGACAAAAAAACAAATAAATGTAACGATCATCATTGTTGAATTTTTGAATCACGCGGTGGATCTTTACCGCGATCTTAAATGTTTATATCGACGGCATTGTTGTTGTAGCGTGATTAGAATAATGTGTTGAGTGTGTTGATCGTTTCTGCGAGCGCTTTAAGCACGTCGACGGCTACCCGGAAACTCTTCACCTCGTTGCGCAACTCCTCGCATCGAAACCGCCGATTGTTATTCTCCAATGGTGATCCTCTCGCGCGATGATCTTTTTATTGTTTTATCTCCATTGATATGCACAATGTCCCTTTGATTCTTCGTTTATCGCTCTAGACCTTAGGCGAGTTGTTTAACATAGAAATACGTAGCGAGTTTCTTCCTGTATGTTTATGGCAACATAGTTATACCTCCTTATACCTCGTTATCACAATGTAACAGTCGAGATTAAGTGGCATTATCAATATAATATAGCTGTGATTGAGTGATATGTGGTTGTGCATCCAACACAATTTCGAACAATAATAATGCAGCGCGTCATGATTGTGTGACAGTAAGTAGAGAAAATTGTTGCACGGCAATATTATGTTACCTCGTATATTTTTAATATATTAAGCTAGCGTTTTTCTTTTTTAATAATTTGTATGCTTCATTGATATATTAAACAGAGAGTCTCCTCTCTCGTCGCGATCAGTTCACCATAGGAGAGTACACGTTCGCCGTTTTTCTCGCCGCGACCAGAATTTTTAATATATATATATATATATATATATATATATATATATATATATATATATATATACACACAAAAA